GTCATGTGACCATAACACCCCGTCCCCATCAGCAGCCTGACAGCTCTATTTTGAACCAACTGAAGTATCCGGACCGTCTTCAAGGGCAGCCCCACGTACAGCGCGTTACAGAAGTCTAGGCGGGAAGTCACCAGTGCGTGTGTCACCGTCGCCAGGCAGTCATACTCCAGGTAGGGGCGCAGCTGATGGATCAGCCGAAGCTGAAGGAAAGCGCTCCTCGCCACTGCTGTCACCTGAGCATCCAATGAAAGCTCTGGGTCGAGGAGCACTCCCAAGCTGCGGACCTTGTCCCTAAGAGGGAGTGCAACCCCATTCAGTGCCAGGTTCAATTCACCCTCTCTAGCCAGAATCTGGCTTCCTGGAACCTGAGCCCATTATTGCATGCCCTGCCTTCTGGGATGATCAAGAAGAGGTCCAGGTCTTCCTCTCCGTGACAAACAGAAGCCTCAGGAACGTGGCAGGTAAAGGCCTCACGCTGAGCCCTCTCAGGGAGAAATCCACACGAAGCACCTTCAGCGTCGCAATGCCCGACTCACAAGATGCTCACCCAAACGCATCTTCCTTGCGCTTTTTCTGCCATCCTGTCCCGGATTTCGTTATCTGTTTTTCAGTGCCAGGCCAAGACCTTATTATTTAAATGATATTTTAATATTTTAATATTTTAATAATTAATTTTATTTATTAGTTTTAAATTTTTTAACCAGGGTGAATCCAGATTTTATATGTATCTATTTATATGGTTGGTTGTTTATTATGTTGTCCCGAGGCTTATGCGAATGGGATGGCATACAAAAATTCCAAATAAATAAATGCAAATAAATAATTTCTCCAGAACAGCTACAGCAGGACTTTTTAAGAGGTTGCATTTCCCCCCCAGTGCATATATATCAGTTCTGCTAAATTTGCAGAACTACTCTGGGGCCAGAAGCGTGTCTTCAGTGGACTGGGGGGCTGGGGGTGGGGGAGAAACCGTGTCATCCTGGGTTCAGCAGAAAAGCAGCAACTCTGAGGATCCTTCAGCGGCTTCCCGACCTCCTTTCCCATGGCCCCCTCCCCTTCTCTGACTTGCCCACTGAAATGCAGAATAAATGCAACGCCACTGCCCCATTTTCAGTGTTTTTCCCAAGCCTGAAAATTCAGGTCTACTCAGAAATAAATCACATCAGCTCCAAGGCTTTACTCACAAGCAAATCACGTCAACTTCAGTGGCGCTCGCTTGTGGGACGTCCACACAAGAGCAGCGCTGCATTTACTTTCTGGGAATTCTTTGGTGGGAATGGGGGGGGCAGTGGAAAGACGCAGCGTGTTATTCCGTGTCTGGTACTCCGGAATGATCAAGAAGAGATCCTGCCCTTTGAACCTGCACATGGTAGGCATGTCATGAGCCGGGGGTCAGACTAGATGGCCCAGGAGACCCCTTCGGACTCACTCTGTTTCTTTGTTTCTCTTTGTGCCTTTCAGGTACAAGCAGAGCGCTCTCTTCCCTCAGTCTTCACTTCCTCGGGCTAAACATGCCCCGTTCTTTCAATCTTCCCTCGCAGGGCTTTGCCTCCAGTCCCTGGATCACCCTTGTTGCCCGCCTCTGAATCCTTTCTAACTTTTTGCCTCTTTTTAAAACTTAGGTGCTCAGAACCGGACACAGGACTCCAGGTGAGGTCTGACTAGTGCTTAGTAGAGGGGAAGCAGTACTTTACATGCTTTGGAAGTGATAAGTCTATTAAAGCAGCCTAAAATGTTGACTCATATTCAACTTGTAATCTAAAACAACGCCAAGATCCTTCTCACTTGCACTACTGTTGAGGCAAGTATTCCCCATCTTGTAAAAATGAGCTGTTTCTTTTTCCTGGGTGCAAAACTTGGCGTTTGTCCCTCTTGAATTTCCTTCTGTTGTTTCCAGCCCAATGCTCCAACCTACCGAAACCATCTTGAAACTTTTGTTTCTGCCTTCCAGGGGATTAGCTATCCCACCCGGTTTTGTGTCATCAGCTAATTTGATAACTGTTTTCTGCACTCCCTCATCCAAATCATTAATTAAAATGTTAAAAGAGTACCGATCCTAGGACTTGCCACCATTCCCCAGTTTGAGATGGTGCCACTGATGACCACTCTGAGAGTTCAGTTTTGCAGCCAAATGACCCCAAGATCCTTCTCACTTGCTGGGTACAATTTAGCTGGCCGATTGACTTTTACTCTGTTCTTTCCAGCCCTGTGCTCCAACCAAGTGAAAGCACCTTGAATCTGGTGTGCCTGCAGCTGGAGTCTTGTGTTCACTTCTGGGCCCCTCATTACAGAAAGGATACAGCCAGGTTGGAGTCAGTGCAGCGTAGGGCCACAAGGTTGGTGGCCGGTTTGCAGGGGAGGCCATATGAGGCGAGACTGAGGGAACTGGGTCTCTTCAGCCTGAAGAAGGGGAGACTCAGAGGGGATCTGTTGGCGACATGCAGGTATGTGAGGGGGTGTCACACGGAGGTGGGCAGGGACCTGTTCTCCCCTGCAGAGGAAGGCAGGACGCGCTGCAACGGAGCCAAGCTCAGGGAGCCAAGGCTCCATTCGGATGCCAGGAAGCACTTCCTGACAGTTGGGACCCCGAGGGTGTGGAACGGGCTCCCACGGGAGGTGGTTGAGGCCCCACTGGTGAGGGTGTTCAAGGATAGGCTGGACATGCACAAGGTGGGCATGTTGTGAGCAGAGCCGGCTGGAGCCGGGGGTCAGACTACATGGCCTGGGAGGCCCCTTCTGACTCACTCTGTTTCTAGGTTTCTTTCTTCCAGGGCATCAGCCTCCCACCCTGTTCCGTGTCTTCCGCAATTTGACCAGCCCTCCCTGAACTCTCCCACAGCAGCATCGCTCAGCCGGAGAAACAGGTCGCGAGCATCCACACAAGTCTCAAAGACTGCAAAGCCACCAGGGCTGGATCAACAATGCTGTATTTTAATACCTTACATAGTACAGGGGCAGACATGGGAAACGCGGTACATAGGCTGTGCACAGCTTACCTACATATATACACAGATATACACGTTCGCATGGACACAAACACACACAGGGCAAAGCCAAGGGCGTGAGAGGCAAGCTACACTGTTCACCGAAGAAGCCGTTAGCCACACGGAGGTCTCGACGAGTCCTAAGGCCGCAGAGAGTTTTCTGCTCAAGCCCTGCAGGAAGAAACGCACGTCGCCTGGGATGCCGCCCACTCCCCGTGGCACGTGGTGCGTCTCTCCTTTGCTGCAAAGGCAATTGCGCACGAGAAGAGGCCGAGGGTGGAGCAACCGATAGCGGATGAGAGCCTGAAGGTGCCTCAGGGGAAGCGCAAGATCTGAGCCCCCACCTCTGCCCTGGCACCAGGCCGGACAGTGCGGCTCCATCTTCAGCAGAACCGAAAAGCGGACAAAATGGTGACAGCCCCTGCTGATAAACACCTAATTCGAAGCACGTTCGCTCGTTGGGTTGCTGTAAGCTGGAGACAACTGGATGGCTCGGAGCGACAGGAGAGGGAGGCAACAGGGGAGAGCCTTCGCAGTGGTGGCCCCGCCAGCGATGGAGTTCTCTCCCCCGCAAAGCCCACCTGGCCCCAGCTCTGTCATCGGCACAGTGGCAGGTTAAGGCGGCTCTCTGCTCCCAGGCATTTAACGGTGTAACTGGCACGGCCGGACATTTATGTCAGCTACTTTTAACAGGACTTCTTTGAGCTGTTCACAAAAATGTTTTATGCCATTTTGCTGGATGTGTGGCTCGTGTTTTTGGTGTGAACCATCCAAGACAGCAGCAGCAATAATAATAATAATAATAATAATAATTAATAATAATAATTTACCTAACCAAATTTCGGCTGAAGCCCTTTAGGAGCACAATTCTGTGCATGTTCAGACAGAAGGGACTCCTCCCAGCCTGCAGCTTTGGATTGCGCCCTACGGATTCCAAAGACTTGTGCTTGAGCAGTGAAGAGTTGGGGAGAGACTGTCTTCTGCCTTCAAGGAGATGCTTCCCTGCAAGGACTTTGTAGAGGAAGATGCAGATGTGGACTTCGCAGCTTTGCAGGGTGAGAACATTCCCTAGGTGGGGACACCCGGCAAATGTAGCTGCGTAACGCCCTGCGCGTGACTGAGAGGAATATTCAGAGCCATGCCGGATCCGACCAAAGACGTACCTAATCCCTTTACACCCCATGCTTTTCCCTGCAAGGAGCCCAAGGCAGCTTACAAAATCCTCTTGCTGCTCTTGATTTAATCCACACAACAACCCTGAAAGGTAGGTGAAGCTGTGCCAGCGATTGGTCCAAAACCATCCAGAGAACTCCATGGCTGAACCCAGGTCTCGCCAGTCCCAGTTCGACACTCAAGCAACACTGGCTCACGCTAGCTCAGCAGGAGCAGCATCCCGACTCTCACAGTGGCCCCGAAGCAAGTGCGCAAACAATGCCGGATCCTTTACTGGCTTCCGATGCTCAGGCCAGGCTCATGGCTCCTCGTCGAAGCGTTTGGGGCAACGAGCGCCGGGCACTCGCTTGGAGCATGCCGTGCAGAACGGCAGCTGGTTCTGACCAGTGTGCCCATCTTTCTCTAATTAAAGAGGTTATAAAACTTCCCTAATAGCTTCTCTGCTCGGAGCACAACTATCTAGACCAGCTGTGAGAAGCTGCGTCTCATGAGGAAACTCCGACTGCAGAAGGGAAAAGGGGGAGAAGATTGACCTACTTTGGCTCCAGCCCTCCCACTGCCAGGACTTTTTATTTTATTTGTTCTTATTTATTTAAGACTTTTCTAGACCGTCCCATTACCAAAGTCTCGGGATGGTTTAACAATACAAAATGTAAAAAAAAATTAAAGCACAGAGTCCTAAAACTCAACTAATTAAAAAAAAAACAATTAAAACAGTCAGGTCGGAAAACATTGGGAAAATAAAAAGGTTTTGGCCTGGTGCCAAAAAGAATAAAGTGACAGCGCCAGGCAAACCTCTCTGGGGAGCGTGTCCCACAGTTGGGGCACCACCACAGAGAAGGCCCTTCTCCAGGGAGCCGCCCTCCTAATCTCCTCCAAGGAGGGCACCCAGAGAGGGGCCTCTGCCCCAGATCTTCAGCTCTTTTGCAACTGACCAGGGCCAATGTGGGCTGCCGGGGGGAGGGGGGGCTCTCCAATGTTGTGCCTGGGCAGCTTTGCTTCTTCCCACAGGGCAGACCAACCCCTCCACCTACCGGAGGAGAGAGCAGGCGCTGCCTTCGCTAGGGAGACACATCAGCATCATCTTTCACCCAGATATGAAAGGAGGCGCAGAACCCGCCAACTCACGGAGCTTTCTGCCTCTCCTTCGCACCACACTGGCTTCCCATTTCTTTCTGCAGGGTGTGAATAAGGAATTGCAAATACGGAAGGGAAGGGAATTGGCAGCCATGTGCAGCTCATCCGTATTTCCTCTCCCTCCTTTGCCTGAAGGGCACAATCCTACACTAAACTCCTTGCTCTCCAAACACGCATAGGATTGCACATTTCAAGGAGCCCTTCCAAGGTTTTCACTTTGGCCGGCTCCACTGCACACTGCGTCAGTTGTGTGTCCACTGCTGGACTCATGAAGGACCCGGGACTCCCAGGTGAGACAGCACCTGGAAACGGCACTGTGAGGCGGTACACACGCCAGGTTGTCAGACCCGTCCCGGAGGCGACACCCAGCCCCGGGGAGGCTGCGCATGGATCGTCTGCAGGGTTGGCGTGCAGCGGCTCCAGGCGCCAGGGCTGCCCATGGGGTGCTCGCAAGCGAGGGTTGCCCTCCTTGCGCTTTATGCGCAGTCAGAGGTAGGGGACAAAGCGGAGGCGGCAGCGCAGGTGCCGATCCGTATCAAAATCCCCGCTCTAGCAGTTTTGCCTCGAGCAGGAGCAGGGCCTTCGTCAAGGGCACGGTTTCTAATTGCCCACTTGAGGCCAAGTCACCCCAAAATATTGTGCTCGGCTGCAGGGAGTGACGGCTGTGCCCGATTCCAGTGACTCACAGGGGGCAGGTGTTCTCCAGGCCCCAGCAGGGAAGGAACGTCAGCCCTGCGCCCCCGTGAGTCCAGACTCTGCTGCTCCGCCACTGCTCCGAGGAAGAGCGGACGAGAGTGAGGAGAACGCACTGCCCAGGCGCTGCCCCAAGCCGCCCCCGGGCTTCGCCGGTCAGGGCATCATTTCCCGCAAGGGGCCTCCAGACCATCTTCCCTGGCCGCACGTCACAGCATCAAGAGTCTGACTCTCCTCCAGGTAAGGAGAGGGGCAAAGAGGCAGCCAGAGCAAGTTTGCAGATGAGATGAAAGGAACGGTGGATTCAGGCCACACACTGCAGTCCATGACTCCATCAAGACCTACTTAGGGGTTGTGGGACTGGGCGAATCCCCTTCGGAGGATGGGAGTTCACATCTCCTCTTGGACCAGTAGCTCTTCCAGAGGGAGACCCACTTTGAGGGAGAGAGGAAGGAAACACGCCTACGTTGCTTTTTTCCTGGATTTCTCTCTATAGTCCCAAAGAGGGAGGGGATTTTGTGTGGCTCTTTGGGCAAAGTGGATTCTTTCTCTCCGTCCCCCAGTGGAACATTCCTTTAAAGCATTTTAAATGATCTTACAGAGCACTGTGATTGATAACATCTTATTCAGCCCAGACACTGGAGAAAATGTACTCTAAAAACGGTCACGTAACACAGACTGAGAAAACAGGGATATTCGGAACTTCTGCCATTAGGCACTGTCTGAGCAAGGAAGGGACATGTTGGACCGATCATAAATACCCCTTTACAAAACAAATAACAACTATACAAGGATCAGGAAGTGAAGGTTACTTAAAAACAGACAGACGGAGACAAGCAGCCCAAGAACCAACAGCGACGCTAGACAAGACTGTCCAGAGGAGGAGTCCAGGGCAGGAAGGCACCGTTCTAGCTGCGGATGAGTGTCAAAAACTCTTCCCGCGTCTTTGGGTCTTCCCGGAACACTCCGAGCATCGTGCTGGTTACAGACTTACTGTTCATTTTCTGGACGCCTCGCATCACCATGCACATGTGCCTGCGCAGAGAGAGAGAGAGAAGGGGTCTCACATCGGGGGGAAACAAGCGCAGGTGCAGCGCTATGCGATCTGCGGCTGCTCTCAGGCCACCCTGTGCCGGAGCGCCCTCCAAAAAGTCCCGTCCACAGCTGCCCTGCTCAGCCTTTCCAGCTTCACGGCTGCGGCTTCCCTGGTGGAGTCCACCCCCCTCACTGGTGGTCTTCCCGTTTGTCTTCTTCGACTTTTCCCTAGCATGATCGTCTTCTCCAAGGATGCCTTCTCATGATGTGCGCAAAGTATAGAAACACAGAAACTGAGCGAGTCAGAAGGGGCCTCCCGGGCCATCTAGTCTGACCCCTGGCTCCAGCCAGGTCTGCTCACAACATGCCCACCATGTGCATGTCCAACCTGTCCTTGAATACCCTCACCAATGGTGCCTCAACCACCTCCCGTGGAAGCCCATTCCATGCCCTCGGGGTCCTGACTGTCAGGAAGTGCTTCCTGGCATCCAAATTGACCCTTGGCTCCCTGAACTAGGCTCCGTTGGAGCACGTCCTGCCTTCCTCTGTATGACAGCTTCGGTTTTATCATTTTTGCTTGGCTTGATCTAGGACCTATTTGCTGGTCTCTCTCTCCATCCAGGGTCTTTGCAAAGCTCTCCTCCACCACTGCGCTTTGAATGCATCCATCTTCTCCCTGCCCACTCTCTCCCCTGTCCAGCTTTCACACCCAGACACAGAATCAGGAATACAAGAATGCGCCTGATTTTCCTGGTCTCCAGTAAAATGTTCCTCTTATACCTGAAGTTCTTTTCTAGTTCCCTCATTGCTGCACTTCTCAGATTCAGTCTTTGTCGAATTTCTTGCCTGCATTCTTGCTCTGCAGTGATGACTAAGCCAAGGCATCAAAATCTCTAAGAAAAACACCCCAGAATGCCCAGGGTCCTCCAGCTAGCAGTGCTGGCTGGGGAATGCTGGGAATTGTACAACTTCGTCTCATCTTATGAATCAGACTGCACCTTGGGGCTCCTGAGAAGTTGACTTTGCTGCTCCGGGCTCTACGCCAGAGTCTGTGTAAATTCAGTTAAAATCCCTAGGAAAGAATCACAAGGAAAACATTCCACAGTGTGGCCCGATCTGGATGTTCTGGATTGGGACTCCCCTGCCAGCCAGCTGGGTTTTGCTGAGCATCTTACTTCAAAACAAGGGCAGGTTCTTGCCCTGAAAGGTGGTCAAGAACCATTTTATTAAAAATACAATACAATACAATGCCTCTGATCAGTGTCAGGTCCAGGATTTCTGGACTTGGAGAAACAGTGTGAATCTGAAATCAAAGGTGCAAGAACATTTTAACTCAACAAGCCATGCTAGCAAGCAAATAGCAGCACTACCGATTAACCATCCTTGAAAAAAGAAAGTGGAAATCAAGCCATCAATGCACACATCCACACCACCTGCAAACCAACACACACACTTATTTTATGAAAACAAATAAGTATTTTCCACGATCTCTTCCAGTGAGGTTTACCGTTATCACTGCGGCAAGGAAACGGTATCTGGGCAGCTCTTCATTCATTTTGCAGGCGAGGGCTCCAATTCCTGAATGCTCCTCCACGAAAATTGTGGAGGTAGCGTCCAGGTAGCTTGTGGTTGGAAGAGGCACGCCGACAGGTATTGTGGTCCCAAGCTGTGCAGGGTAAAACTGGGGCTGCCCGCAGGCGACTGGCAGAACGGGCACAGGCGCTCCTGGTGGGACCGGCATTCAGGCCTGGTCGGGCTGGGTTCCAGCCAAGCGCCCGCCTCCCTGCAAGAGCCCGCTGATGAGGCTGGAGTGGCTGCACCGCTTCCCCACTGCAAGCTGGAAGCTAGCCTGCCCCTCACGCCGGCCCAGACACTGGAGGGCAGGAAGAGCAGAAGCACCTCCCTGGACCATAAGGTCATTAATGGAGGTCCTTCTGCAGGAGCCACCTTTACAAGAAGGAAGGAAGGGGCCCCAGGGGAAGGGCCTTCTTGGCTGTGGCACCCGGATGCAGGAACCAGCTCCCCAGGGAGGTGTGCCTGGTACCAACCCTTCAAACATTTTGGTGCCAGGTTAAAACCCTTTTACGCTCCAGCTATTTGAATGGCTGAATAGGATGTTCTGGCCTTTATACATGTTTTTATCTATCTGATGACTGGTGTGCTGCGGTTTAGTGGCTACATTTTGCTATGTATTACTATTATTATTCCCCTGCTTAAATGGTTGTCGACTCAATTTGAACTTCTGGTTATTGTGGTAGTGTTATTGATATTACGTGGTACCGCCACACTCTGCTCAATTATTGCACTGATTGTACACAGTTCAGAGAGTTTTTACGGTAGGACGGGATAGGAAAGCTTTAAACAAATAAATGGGCAGGACAGCCAGAGCACTCTGTGGGTCCCTGCCAGCCCAGCAAGCAGGGGTGAGTGATGGTGAGAAAGAGGCTACGCAGCCCATGTGGCTGGTGGCCAGGGGGCGAGAAAGAGGTCCCACTGGGGAAAGGGCTCAAGGCGGATGCCCTGGCCAAAGACCCTCCACACCCTGCAGCCAGGACGGGGCCCTTGGAACGCAACCGGAGATTCCCACTGAGCAGTTCCGTTGGCCATGGCCCCCTCGCCAGCCGCCATGAAGCGGTGGAACTGTTGCGGCCCTTTGGACACGTCACGTGGCCAAGCGTGCATGCACTTACGTGGCTTCGATGACCACCCCCACGCCGGCCGGCTTCAAGGCTTCTGTGATGGCCACGGCGATTTGCTTCGTTAGGCGCTCCTGAACTGCAGCAAGAAGCAGAGAGAGAGAGAGAGAAGACTTTATGCACGGCCCCAAGAGGTATCGGAGCAGCGTGCAGCAAGTGAACATACGAGATGGGGGAAAACGGAAACAGCAAGCACGTCCATGAACCAACGGCTGGAATTTAGTTACTGGCCAGGAAGTGCTTGCCTGAAAAGCCTTCCCTAAACACGGACAGCAAAGCAATGAAGCTGCACATTTGCTCTCAGCTGGAAAGAGTTTCCACTGGGAGGGGGCCAACACGAAGAAGGCCTGCTAAAGGATCCAGCCCTGCATGTTCCCACTCAGACGTGCAGAGGCCTGGCCCTGGGTTGTTCTGAGCGGCTTTTAAGTGGAAAGCCCGACATCTGGCCCCCTCACAGCTGGAGCGCTGGTCCAAAGGCCTTTCCCAGGGGGCACTTTAGCCTCGAGCTGAAAACAGTTCCACGCCCCACTGCAGATTTCTCAAAAGATGGAGGCAGCCATGCTTGGTGTCATTAAGAAGTTGAGCCTTGGCGGCTGACTAGAGGAAACTGACTCGATTTTCAAACATGGAACCCGGGAGTCTGGGACCAAGCAGGCCAGAGGAAACAAACCCTTCATGCTCCCACTGTATCCCCATGTAGACAACCCATGGGACTGAGTAGTCCTGAATGCAGAAAACATGTTCCATGCAGAAAGACAGATCATGAGGGAAAAGACTGCATTAGAACCCACTTCCTGGTGTGCTAGATTTCTAGGTGCAGGGATTTTTTTTTTAAATGGAGGGGCATCCCATCATGAGAGCTGAAGGCTAAAGCAGAACAGCCATCACATAGGCTTACCACCTTAGTTCCTCAGAGGAAGAGAGGGGTACAATAAATTCTTGATTTCTGAGTATTTTCAGAATTTTACCTATACCAGCTTCTCCTACGGTGGTAAGAAAATATTTCACTAGGTGCAACACCAAGGAGGGTACTTACCCTGTAATCTTCTGCTGTATATTTCCACAATCCTGGAAGGAAAAAAAGCATTGTTACTTATTTCTTTTGTCTCACTTCTGCATTCCTGAGAATTCAGAGGGTGAGATCGGAAGAGTTTTGACTAAGCGAGGTTTTGCAGTTGCAAGCACATCAAATAAAGTATGAATAAATGAAAAGTCAGCCTGTCATGATTAAAGAAGATGCAATAAGCAAGGAAGATGGAGAAACATAGAAACTGAGTGAGTCAGAAGGGGTCTTCCGGGCCATCTAGTCTGACCCCTGGCTCCAGCTGGCTCTGCTCATGACATGCCCACCATGTGCATGTCCAGCCTATCCTTGAACACCCGCACCGATGGGGCCTCAACCACCTCTCATGGAAGCCCATTCCACACCCTCGGGGTCCCAACTGTCAGGAAGTGCTTCCTGGCATCCAAATGGAACCTGGGTTCCCTGCGCTTTGCCCTGTTGGAGCGCGTCCTGCCTTCCTCTGCAGAGGAGAACAGGTCTCTCCCCACCTCCATGTGACACCCCCTCACATACCTGTATGTCGCCAACAGATCCCCTCTGAGTCTCCTCTTCTCTAGGCTGAAGAGACCCTGTTCCCTCAGTCTCGCCTCATACGGCATCCCCTGCAAACCGGCCACCAACCTTGTGGCCCTTCGCTGCACTGACTCTAACCTGGCTGTATCCTTCCTGTAATGAGGGGCCCAAAACTGAGCACAATACTCCAGTTGCGGGTGTACCAGAGTCATATAGAGTGGTAGTAATACTTCTCTCGATCTAGAAGCCACACTTCTGGCTATGCAACCAGAAGTTGCATAGCCACGGCTGGCTCATGTTCAGCCTGCAGTCAACCAGCACCCCGAGGTCCCTTTCACAAGTGCTGCTCTCCAGCCACTTGTCCCCCAACCTGTACTTATGACACTCATTCCTATGCCCCAAGTGCAAGTCCTTGCACTTATCCACATTGAACGCCATCCTGTTGTCTCCTGCCCACTTCCACAGTCTGCCCAGATCCTTCTGGATCCGGAGTACCTGCTCCTCAGTTGTGGCCACTGCTCCAGTTTTAGTATCATCTGCGAATTTGACCAGGCCCTGCTTACAAAGCTGCATCGGAAGAGTGCTGCTACTTGAAAGGTTGCAGGGGATTTTCCGACCAGAAGCTGGATGGCGATGCCAAGGAGTGGCCCTAGTAAATGAGTTCAGGCCCTAGTAAAAGCCCATAGAAGGAGCTGGGCTCAGCTGGGAGGCACCTGAAGCGAGAGAGGCTAAATTAGCTCTGTCTCTCTGCTTAGCTCTCCATTGGGGTTGGAACGAGCTGAAGGGGATCGCAAAGCAGCCGATGCTTCGTAAGCTGAGCTCGCTAACCAGCAGGGGCGACACACTTCTGGAGTCTCATTTCTAGTCTGCTCACAAGATCCCTTTTTGTCTGCTCTTTGCTTTCCTTCATAAAACGGCTAACCTTTTCTCATTTAGATGGGGCTGCTGCCATATCGATCCGGAAGCACGAAAACCTGCTGCGCTTTGCTGCAAGCTGAATTCTTAGGTGCAGCTTTGCCACAGCCTGAGTCTAGTCCTTTGGTGGAGAGAGACGCTCGGCTAATGCTTTTCTTTTCCTACCAGAAAATCTGTCACAGGTTCTGCTTCAAGTGTGGAGGAGATGTGTACCAGATGAGGCCACAAATTCAATTACACCTCCAGAGCTTACCCCGGTGAACATTGAGAGACAGAAAGGGCTTGTTTACTCTGCCGGGGTCATGCCTCCAAGCGTACAAACCGACAACACATAAGAGAAATCCTATTAGGAGAGATTATTGTATCCTGTACCGACAGCTTGAGAAACCTGAATTTGAGACACAGGTAGCTTTGAGTAAAACAGGCCAATGAAAATGTGTCTTTTGGGGAAATACTGGTGGGTTTTTTCATCAGGTCTGTGTGTGACGTGAAAGCCAGGCTGTGACCCCTCCGTTACAGCACTTAAAAAGGACGTGCAGCATTAAAGCCCAGTATTTACAGATCTGCAGAGTGGGAATGTCTTTTCATTTTCTCCACTTGCCAAATCAAACCCTCACAGGCCAACATTTCCCCTGGCAAATGCAGCATGGCCCTTGAATGTCCACTGCGACTGAGCAACTGGGAGAGGTCGACTGAGATAACACACCTGGCGGTCGCTGGCTCCACTGTGACGTTATGGAATGTTCAGAAATATCCCAATTTCACAGGAGTTGTTCTAAAGAGAGAGGGAAAAGACCGCTCCACACACTCGGACATTTTGGAAGAATGAAATGTCCAGTGGGAAAAGGGCTCCGCTTAGATGCCCGGGGTATGAACGGCACAGTCACTGGCCCATCAGGGAGAAGGAGAAGTGAGAACGGGAGGCAAAATACAGGGAAATTTTGCAGATAGCCTCTTGATGTATTTCCAAGAAAAAGACACATAGGACTGAAAGGCTGCTCTGTGGATGGATGTTGGTGGCATTGCAGAGAAACCCTGAAATAACCAGATTTGCAAAGGTGTTCTTGATTTGAAGGGCTGCCCAGTGCAAGAACAAGCAAGCCTAGGGGCCCTGAGGTTTCTGCGAAACACCAAGTCGCTGGACAGCTGTCACAAAAGCCTTCTCTGTTGAAAGTTGAGCCCTTATTCTAATTTTGTCGCTAAATTACCACATGCAAATGTCATGCAAATCTGAGCCCTCTTTTTTAGCAATGCATTCACAAGAGTTTCTCATGCGGCTTCCTCTTCCAGTCCTTCTGCCGCTGCAGTTGGGGGAAGCCCTTGCCACAGAGTCATCTCAAGTGGCATTTGGCGGAGAAGGACTCGCACCAGCGGGCCCACCATTTCCCCCTGCCTCACCCCACCTCGAGTTCGCCACCTGGAGACTCACGTTCACAGAGCTAATTGGTGCAGACAAACTAAGGCAGATTAAAACGCTGTGTGTGGCCAGGGCATGAAGAAGGACTGGTGATTCTTCCGACTCCAGGCGGCTGATGGGGGAGGAACTAGAAGCGGAAGCACAGGGAGGAGCTGGAGGCTGCAAGGGAGAAGATGTGATTGCCAGCCAGTGCGTGAAGGCCAACTGCAGAGAACCCCATCTAAAACAGTGTGGTCCAGTGGTTAGAATGCTGCACTGGGGCTCATGAGAAGCGGGTCCCAGTCCCCATCAAGCTCATTGGGTGGCTTTGGGCCAGCCACTGCCTCTCAGCCTAATCTACCTCGCAGGGTTGTTGTGAGGATAGAATGGAGAGGAGAACCTTGTCAGACACAGGAAGAACATGGGGGTATAAACGCAGTACAATCATAATGCGACATGGAACGCAGCTTTATATTTTAATGATGTTTAAGTTTTTCTTCTTGAGCTGTATTCTTTCTCCTGTTAGCACTCAGCTTTTAGTTAATTTAGTTGTACTGCTTCTGCTGCACATTTATCTGCCAATAATATGATTATCTGCAAACTGTTCCATCGGATTTATTGAATATTGCTACATTCATTGCCATTTGATTGCCACGTCTTGTAAATTGTGCTTACTGTTCTTCACGGGAGCTGCCTTGGGCACGCTTTTGGGAAAGGGCAGCAAGCAAATAAATTTATGATGATGAAGTATAAAAATGCTTAAATCATAAAGATGCTGCCAGAAAAATAAACCCTCTGTGTCCTATATTCCTCTAATAGCTAAAAGATGGGACTGATGCCACCTCTAGAGAAATGAGAAACGAAACAGAATTTTGTTTATTACCGGCACAATTCTATGCATGTTTAGGCAGGAAAATGTCCTTCAACTCCCAGAGTGGCCCAGCCAGACTTCTGGAGGTCTTTTTTCTGTCTAAACACACACTACACACACATGTTATAATCATCATCATCATCATCATCATCATCATCATCAGGGATTTATGTAGACAAGAGAGCAGAGGAAGCCATGGAACAGGAATGATGAAATGCACCTCGATCAACTGGCTTTCCCCCTTTTTCAGCTCTCATCTCTGCACCCTTCAGCCCCAAACCCCACGGCTTTGAGCAGACTTCTCATTGCCCTTCTTAAAATCATGCTTCTTCAGAAACGTCTTACTGCCAGTAATCTCAGACAAGCCACCTGACGTGCTGAGATAACGGCAGCTTCCTCCCCAAAGGTGGTCAACCTGGAGTCATGAAGGTGCTTTGGCTTACAAGTCCCATCAGCCCTCACCACTGTGCATGCAGGCTGAGGCAGATGGGAGTTGCAGACAACAACTTCCAGGTGCCAGTGTTGTCTTGCTGGCTCCAGGGTCCCACGGAGAGTCACCCCAGAGTGGACTCTGGACTTTGAAGAGCTGTCCCTGGATGCAGGCTGGCGCTGGGGGTCAGCATTGTGGAGTATTCCTTTCACGCTCGGCTGGAGTGGACACCCCACCACGGGGACAGGAGAGACACCAGCTTCTGCTGCTCGGATGGCCACCAGCTGCCCACCTGCAAAGAGGACGCCCCTCCTGGAGCAACCCGAAGTGAGGCAGCTGCAACTGTTCGCTGTGCCACGCAGAGCAATCCTGAGACCTCTGCTCTGCTCAGATAATTTACAGCCAAGCAGAGGGGCTCCATAAAGCAGCTAAGCATTACAAGGTGTAAACAGAGAGGAGAAAACCACTATTTCTTCACACATTTCCTCTTTTTTGGTGGCAGGAAAGATGCAGCCCATCAGGGAGACTCAGCTGGACAACACGTTGTGCCACTTAACTGAAGCGAAGCATCGATTGGGAAGAGATGGAAAGCAAATGACATGTTTCCGGGACCCTGATTAGCTGGCCCCAGAGAGTCAGCTGAAGTGTCGGACAATTCTTGTTCTGAGGCCTTTCTGCATCTTCGCAATTTAAAGATAATTGTGAGCAAAAGCAGCCATTGATCGATCTGGCCGACGTGACCCATCCCAACAGGATGAAAAATGCCACTCGGTGGGCGAGAGGTGGCGGAGAATATTGCTCAACAAAACCTACCGATTCTGCAAGATTCCCTCACAGCTCCTGCCCCTAGAAAGCTAAGAGTCGTGAGGCAAGCGAACCACCGAAAGCCACAAGCCCAACGGATGTCCTGGAGAGAGGGAAGCGAGCCTGCGTTGGCCATCTCCAACACGGCACCCTCTCTGTATGTTGGAGACAATCCCAGCATCCCCAAAGCCAGGATCTGTAGTCCTGGAGAGGACCAGGTTGAGGAAGGCGGGTCAAGAGAGACGCCACGAGGCCTGAGCAAGCCAAAAGCAGTTCTGCCAGCGGGGCCCCAGGGCCTCTGTCTCTCCCAACCCACCCTGCCCCCCAGTTTCTTTGAATTATTCATTTATTTATTTAAAGCTTTTACACCCTGTCCACCACTCTGACATCTCGGGACGGCTTGCAACAAAGCACAACGAAAGAGCAAAACAACACAGCATCCAACCATGAAGATAAAAACCCCAGTTAAAGCAAACTAAGCATTAAAATAGTGGGAAAATGAAGCATTAAAATAGTGGGGGAAAGAATTAAAGATGCCTGGGAGGCCGTCTCTCTTACACCCCCCCCCCCCACGGACCCGCTGGCACGACAACCGGCTTGCCTTAGGATCTGCTGTCCCAAACAAGACCCTCCGCTTAACAAAATGCAGGGCCAGCAGCTTTAAATTCAGGTCAGTGGTAGTCAGATCCAGAACAGCTAATTTAGTAGCCCTAACGAGAGTATGTTTCTGAGTCCTCCACTGTGTCTTTCCTTTTCAAGAAACTTGTCCACCCTACACAACTAGCGACCTGCTTTTCAGGGGCAAAAGGCTGCACAAGTGGCCAGTGTTCTCATCTGCGCAAGTTGGGATTCACACTTTTTACAACTGCCTTTACAACGACCGTTCGCACAACGCCAATGCCCCCAAAAAGAAAATGTCAGCTTTCCAACAAAGCGCATGGCAGGTTAAAAGAGGATCTGCCTCCAAGCTAGCAATGCCATTTGCGAGACCAAAACAAGGTAAAGTCCCCGTGAGGTGACTCACGGTCGCCTTGCATTCGTCGGGGATGCTGATGCGACGGCTCGGGACTCTGCCGGGGGCAAAAGGGGCACAGAAAGCCACTGGTGATGCCCAGCAAGTCGAGATGCCCACGAAAGCTGAGGGTCCTTGGGTGAGAAAGGGGCACATGCTGCACCGGGGGGTTCATATTTAAGAAGCGGGCTTTTCGTGGCTCTCTCAGCCAGTGGCCCCTGAAAACTATTCTGCTGAACTGCCCCGAGAATGCTTACTTGGGGGGGGGGGGGCTGCAGGGTTCATTTCCCCTGCTCAGGCCCCCACTGGAGGTCCCATGGGGCTCAACATTTCGGACCTTAATTTCCACAAGAGCTGCAGCACAGGACAGGTTGGGCACACGGCCCAACACTTGTGATATCCATTTGCCCTATCCATTCATTCAGGGTTTCCCCTTGGACCCACCCATTCATTCAGGATTTTCCCTTGGACCCACCCATTCATTCAGGTTTTTCCCTTGGACCCACCCATTCATTCAGGATTCTCCCTGTGGTAAAGGGTATCTCTCCAAAGAAGGGCAACAGCCTTCCTCTCAGCCACATGCAGCAGATCCTGGCTCCCAGATCCACGAGGTACTTGATCTTGGATCTGAAAGCCCTCCATCCACCAACACCTTTGATCTTCCAAAAGATGGTCTGGAAGCTGATTTGATCTCGCCTCCCATGCTCCTTGCACCTAGTCTCCTCTGCCATTTCTTACTGCTCCTTAATCCCAGTTTGCCATGAAATCCAAATCAAGGAGCTATGGCAGCTCCTCCATTCCAAACCATGACCTCAAGCCATGGTTTGCAGGCAAGACATTAACGATAGTTTGCCATTTCCAGTCGCAGCAAGCTACGCTTATGCCAAACCAGGAAGTGGAGAAGGACCCCTGCCACTAAACACAGAGCCAGAAATGGGTAAACTTGTGGCAAATTTCCATATTTTGGAGGATTAGGTTGGCATGTCCATACTGTACTTTTCTCAAAATTTTTGTTCCTCTTCTCACAAGAGATGTACTCCAATTGCTTGATATTTCCAGTTTCTTTTTCCTGTGCCATTCCCGGGCATACTATATGGAATTTAAGGGAGGATAATCAGAACTGGGGTTAGATATACAGCCACCACAGCCCTATGAGGTAGGCTTGATTGAGAGGAAGAGATCTGGCCAAAACCACCTAGAAACCCAGGCAGTTGAGCAGGAATCTCTAGTGTCCTGGGCGCGAGTTCAGTCAAGAGCACATTATGCCACACCAGCTTGGCATGAAACCAAACAACGCAGAGTTGCCCACTGGACGATCTCGGCTAACCTGATTCCCATGGTGGCTCACAGGAGAAGCTGGCAGAAAGGTCAAGACAAGAAGCCAGTAGGAGGTTGGAGGGCTCCAAGTGAATCCTACTGGATGGAACTCTCTCCCACTAAACCAATAGGAGGATGTTGTCTCAGCAAGTTGTAGAAGGCAACAGAGGCCTCATGTAGGCTGGCAAGACCTGTCCTGTGGTCAGTTCTGCCACTCCTGGAGGGGCTTATTGGCCTGTGGCCTGCCCTGTCTGCAGCAAACATTATTCCAATATCGTTTTTCAAAATACGTCCTCCCTCTTTCTCAGTATTCATTGCCTGTAAAGGGGGCAGTGGAGAAAATGCATGTGTTTCTCAAGCATTAATGAACAGCTATAGAGAGGAAGGTCAGCATCCCTGCAAAACTTAGAACCCGCCTGGTGCGCCTCACCAGGCCTCTTCTTGCTTTAGCAGCTCCTTCTTTCATCAGCTGCACCTACTTAGCACAACTTTCAACCATGCCCCTTCTCCAGTTTTGTTTTAATTCCACCACCAACATCTGGCCTGATGGCCATAAGACGGGTTGGCTTGTCCCAGAAGCCAGGCTGGGCTGGCTCTGGGAGACCTGGGTTTCTTCCACGAAGCCTAGGACCAAGCACAAGGGGCAATTTCTTCCCATTTCAGCTTCTCCACTGAAGACCATACAGACCATCAAGATATTTGCAGCACAAGAACGTTCCATCTTGGTAGGAAGCAACAGTACTGACTTGGTAGGTCTCCTCCGTTCAATGTCATGTGCCACGCAATGATCCACAACACAAAGACACTTAATCGCAAGTCTGAGCTGTGGATGAAACATGGGCTGTTGTTGAACAATTGGCTGCTGTTACTTGTGAACCCTGCACTAGGATTTGACTATGAGTTGTTCACCACTAACATCCCAGGAAGAGAACCGAGGGTCTTTTGTTGGGTTGCGAACTTTGGCTCATTCCCAATCAACAAGCCATACATAAACCATGCTGCAGCTTGCACGTAACAACAACCCACAGTTCAATAGCAACAGCCCAGGATTCAACCACTCATGCTCACCATGTGCTAGGTTGTCATGACGGGCAAAATCAGGCCACTGTCCCACGGCACGTGGCCTCAGAACAGCTGTGCTTGCCCCAAATCTGAGAGGCTTACAAGGAACAATGCAGCTTGGCAGAATTTAGAGACGGATCGGATTATGTCCCTCAATCTACCTCATTCAAGGGAATCCATTTCAATCATCGCCATTACTTTAATTACCTGCAGATCTTACCTGGCCAGCTTGCTGAGTCCGAGGACTTGCTTGTTGGGGAGATAACCAATGTGGACCTGAGAAAAAGGAACAAAGGTTACGAAACGGCACACAGCGGCCACGAAGCCCTGGGCCAGCGCAGGCATGGCACCCGGGGCATATCAGCGGGAACAGTCCCCTGGCCCAGCCCTCGGGGGCCCCAGCGGCCCTCCGTCACCTTGGCCAGGGATATCCTGAGCAGCAGGGCGGCCGATTCGCTGACCTGGCACAAGGTGTGGTGGGGAGGAAGGGACCTGGTTACCTCAGGCTAGAACATGCTGCTGTTTTGCCATTTTGGCCTGGCCCCTTTTGCCTTCAGCCCACCCCCCACTGGAAGCCCCTTCCCCAAGCACCTCTGAAATACCATTCAGCCTCTGCCCTGAAAGAAGAGCAATCCCCAGTATGTAGGTAGGAGCTGCGGTACACGACGCCTCAGATCCGGTGCCAACCCTAACTAACTCAGCCATGAATAATGGGAAAAATGCACCCCACTTCTCCGTCTATCCCTCCTCTTCCTCCATTTCCCCCACGTCAAATTTTAAATTTTAAGCCCCTGGAGCTGGGTGCTTGTCCTCAACTACCCTAAAGGACACCAAAGCTGTACAGACACTGTGGAAACAGAGAGAGACCAAGCCAAGAATGTAAGAAATCGTTTGAGACTGTCAGGACTGTTTTGATTCTTTGATTTCCCTTTTTTCACATGAGCAAAGGAGAACAGGGGCTGCTGGACCTTTATTCTGTTTGAGGACCTGGAAGGAAAGGGCGCAATGGCTCCCCGATTTCTCTGCCTCCCCGATTTCTCTGCACGGGGCAACAGACACGTAAGCCGCGGCGATTCCGGGACCGAGAGGCCGAGAGAGTCTCAAAGAGGCAGGAGGCCGCCGATTCAGCTCTGTTCTTTCATCAAGGGAGGAGGCGAAGGCTGCGCTTCAAAAGGGGACGAAGGGCGCGGAAGCCAAAGGTGGGCTCAGTGGCAAACTGCGCACGGAAGAAAGGTCCTGCGCCGCGCGGGGCCATTTCAAGCGGGCCGTGTGACCCGGAACAGATCAAAGCACATGTCCAGGGAGATCAGAGTTAATGCTCAGACTCCTGCCTCCGAGGCAGGCTGCTGGAGTTGCACCACGGAGGGCTTTGAAATGAAATGTCAGAACCGATTACGACAGAGGGAAGGCTGACGCAGCGAGCAGACCGGCGGGAGGAAGCCGGCAGGAGACTCTTGCCACACGAAGGTCTTTGGACATCGTGCCTGGGAGAGCTGCTGGCTGCAGCGAGGGAAGCGTCGTCCTGCATCAGACGAGCCGGGCTTTCCGTTCTTGCTCAGCAAGTCAAATCCCCACCCTACCCTGTTTCTTTTTCATCTCGTCTCTTCCTCCTCAGCCCACGCTCTGCAGTCCTAAACCTTTGAAACAGAATTAAAATCGAGATCCACAAAGCTTGCATGTTTATCCTAGTAATAGGATTTGAATTCCCCTGGTTCCTAAGTTTGGATGTTTCCATTTAATTCGCAGGCAGAGAAGAAACCCAGAGTTAGAAAAGTTTTCCAGCAATGCTGAGCTTCCCCTCCCTCCAACATGGGAAACCTGTGGAAATATGTGGGAAATACCTGTTTCGAAATGCATTTACATTTTTAAAACATTTTCAGGCAGAGAAAGGTGTGTCTCATCCCCTTTGTGCTGGATGGGCTATGCCAGAAGAAGCAAAAATGGCAAAATTGAGGCTGTCATATTTTAGACACATCAAGAGAAGGCAAAACTGCCTGGAAAAGACCATCATGCTAAGGAACGTTGGAGGCAGAAGATGAAAAAGAAATGGATTGAACTGATAAAGGGAGTCACAGCGCTTTCTTACATGTGGTTGCCATAAGTGAGAGGCAACTTGATAGCACAGAACAGCAACAACATTGCAAGAGTTAATTTAGAATTAATTAAAGAATTAATTTAGGTTCAACAGGTGGAGTGGTGAACTTTTCCAGTGTCCAAAAAAGGCACAAAAACCCATCACATCTCCTGGTTCCAGGTCCACACTAGCTCCCCAGATGTCATCAAGCCGTACTATGGGTGTACATTCATGAGGACTAGCGACTGGCTTAAAAACAAGAGGAAAAAGTAGAAAATGTGGAATGCCCGTGCTCATAAGCAGCCATGGGAGAGAAATGCAGAAAGTGGGCCCACCTCTTGCACACTGCTCGGTGGGAGTCCTCGTCATCGGATTCCGAAGAGGAGGAGAAGCAAGGGGGGACCGAAGCCTTGAAGCTCCTTCCGCTGTGCCTCGTGATGTTTCTCAGACCGGGTGCAAATTTGGAAGGGGAGGAGGGGAGGGGGAGCAGGTGTGAGACCCAGTCCTTGACCCAGTGCGAAGGCACCAGGGAAGCCCCCTGCAGTTGCAAACGCTTGCTCTCCAGTAGTGAGAGCCACCCTGAGCAGGGAGCCAGAAGCTTTACTAAAAGGGAGGGACCGGGGGCGGGGGGGTTTGCCAACTCTGTACATGAGCAGAGGCATCTCTTTCCAGCCTTGGTAGGAAGCTATTTAGAGCTCAATCTGTTCTGTTATCTGAGCGGCCTCAATCAAAAAACTGCTTTGCCAAGGATCGTCTTCAGTTTTGGAACCTGAGGGAAAGGACCAGCTCAGAACAGCGAGACGTACAGATACCAGCTGATAGTTTTGCTTGTTTACCCATCCGAGCCTGGAAGTTAAGAAAGGGGTGAGCCGATACAAAAACAGCGACAACAACATTAAGAAACAAGACACGCGGGCAGGTGTAAAAGGAGACGGTGTCGAACAAGCGTACGTGTGATGAAAAGAGGAGCTGACACCTTCTTCCTCTGGGAAATGCAGAAAGCGGTACAAACTGCCTCTTCCACAAAAGAAAGCAGGACGATTTCATTTTTTTAAGGCCTATCTCTCCTCCCCATCTCTCCGTTCACTACCCTTCCGCTCCCTTCCATCACAACCTTCTATCTATCAATGCAACAGCATGTTAAGCCAATGACCTCAGAGTGCTTCGCTATTTTTTAAAAATACACCCACCCAACAGTAACACAATTCCCCCTGCAAACAATAACGACAACGAAATTATCAAAAGAGTAAATAAATATAAACATAAATATGTGTACACAACAGGTTGCATAATATTATCCATTATGAGGGTCAGTTATAAATATTAATAAAATATTAAAGCATTCAAAACCAGAACCATTAAGAATCTTTAACAGCCATCAGTAAAGTTAGCAATAAAAGCAACGGATGAAAGTCTCAGTGCCGGCTGGATCCTGGAAAGGGCATCCTGTAAATGGCGCCACCACTGAGAAGCCTTTTTCACTAGCAGCCACCATTAGGCAGTACTGCCAGAGAAGATCCTCCCGAAACAGCCTTAGAAATCAGGCAGGAACATCTGGAGTGTTTCCTTAGGTGACCCCACACACCATGCACAAACCACACGAGTCCCCCAACAGCTGGAATGCACAGCTGCGCGGCCAGCCCAGGAAAGAGACAAAAGCACTGGGAACCACATACAGGTGGGGAGCTGGTTTAAATTACCTTTCCGATGAAGGGAACCAGGTGATGTTCACACATCGAAAACATGTCTATGTCCTTCACAATCACCATCTCGTCGTGGTCTTCATCGAATATGGCATCATTTAGCACATCTGGAATCAAGTCAGTATCATTAGCAGCAGTTGCAACCCAACCCACACCCTCCTTATCCCCATCCTTGATTGTGAGAATGCACAGACACCCCCTTCTTCTCAAACTGGATCTCAAGGCAGAGCGCATGCATGTTTGAACTCCACAGAACAATTAAAAATGAACGAGACAACTCCCAGACCATCTTCACGCCCAGGTAGGTAACCAAGGAAGGAGGCGGCTGCAGGGTGACAGGCAAATTATTTGTTTTTCAGCGCCAGGAGAAGACCTTTTTATTTAAGCAGCATTTTAAATGTTAATATTATTGATTTTATCTGGCCAGGGCGGCTTATTTTATATTGTATATTTGTATTTTATTTTAATGTATATATTTTAAAATGTTATTTATGATGTTTTAATTTATTGTTGTAAGCCGCCCCGAGGCTTCGGCGAATGGGGCGGCATAAAAATGTTTTAATAAATAAATAAATAAATAATAAATTAAAATCTGGCCTTAATCCTCGATCTTACACTGCCCCCGATTCTCTTCTGCCCCACTGATGTGTTGCACAAGCCTGTTACCGATTGTGCAACAGAAGGTTGCTTCTGGAACAATCCAAAATGAGCTGGAACCCTCTTTTCAGGAAGAAAAAGCTCGGCCTGGGTACAAGAGGTTCCACTTCCTCTAGGAAGCATGAAACCTCCCCTGGATGCAATGCCGTTGGCGGGAACCACCGTTTGTGGGGCGAAATTGGTGGGATGGAAATGACTCAGCAAGAGTAGACGGGCTCCGTGAGATTCCGCCCCCCATGAGATGACATATATTCCGTGCAGCTTTTCTATCTGGCAGAGGAATCAGCATCACAAAATGTTCAGCTTTCTTCCCTTTGCATTTTTATTTTTAGAGAAAACACACTTTCTGCACAATATGTATTTTTCATGCTGAAATGGCGGATAAATACAGAAACAAGTTTCCAGTCCTCATGGGTAAATGTGCATGAGCCAGTGTGGTGTAGTGGTTAAGAACATGGGACTGGGACTGAGAGGATCTGGGTTCAAGTCCCCGCTCAGCCATGGAGCCAACTGGGTGACTTTGGGCCAGTCACAGACTCTCAGCCCAACCTACCTCACAGGGTTGTTGTTGTGGGGATAAGATGGCAGAGGAGATGTAAGCTGCCTTGAGCCCTTTGTAGGAAAAAGGCAGGATATAAATTGAAAAATAAATAAATAAATGATGAAGGCTGAAGGACCTTAGCCAACATGACGGAGTTATGACTGGTGGCTGGTAAGTCAGAATTTGTTTCTCAGCCTCCCAGTGACCACACTGGGCTTATCCCTCAGCAAAGTGCATCAGGATCAGTTCCCCATCTGTAAAATGGGGATAAATAATGGCCCATCTAACACACCTGTGGTGAGGACAAGCAAACGGATTGGAAAGCAACTGGAAAAATTAACGTGCTGCACCAGCATCACCCATGGCCAATCCTGGTCATCTGCCCCAATCCCTCAGGATAAAAAGCGAGAAGGAATGGCTAGAAATCTGAGCTCATTTTGTACTTTTCACATGGCTCCCAAATACTTTGAAAAAGAGCCAGTCTGAATAAGAACAAAGGCTTGGCGGGGGGGGGGGGGAATCAATGCTTGTCCTTGTCTCCCAGTGACTAACGAACTAATATCAAAATTCAGCAGCAGCCCGGGCTCCTTTTCTTTGACCGCTTCCTCTGACACACACGTACAGACGCACCGGCCCCCCGCACGAACACAAACACCCTCACAAACGCCTGGGAGCCGCACAGGCCGAGCGCGATATGCTATCACGGCGGTTTTAATTTCCTGTGCGCTGCCAGGCAGAGGCAGGTATCCCTGGAGACAACGGTGGAGCAGCCACGCTGCATCCGTCCCCCGGCACGGTGTCTTCGGAAGGGCCGGGGGGGGGGGCGGGGAGAGGAGAGACCACTCGAGACAGCTGTGCTTGGGAGGGAGCCCTGAGGAAGATGGCCTCTTGAAACAGAGAAACAGAGCGAGGCAGAAGGGGCCTCCTGGGCCATCTAGTCTGACCCCCGGCTCCAGCCGGCTCCGCTCACAACATGCCCACCATGTGGATGTCCAGCCTATCCTTGAACACCCGCACCGATGGGGCCTCAATGACCTCCCGGGGAAGCCCATTCCACACCCTCGGGGTCCTGACTGTCAGGAAGGGCTTCCTGGCATCCAAATTGAGCCTTGGCTCCCTGAGCTTTGCTCCATTGGAGCGTGTCCTGCCTTCCTCTGCAGGGGAAGCTGCCCTTCGCATCAGCCGCCGGATTTGCCTCTCCCCCAAAGCCTGCGCACCCTCTTCCCGAACTCCGAGGGGCCATCGTCACACGGCAAGACGGCCCTCTGGGGTCCAGGCCCGGCAGGGCATGTGCACCAGGACAAGCCTGCACAGAGGGATGCGCAAGCAGCCCCGTGGGGGGCAAGCCAGCAGTGGGGAAGCCCCCCGGTTGGGGCAGGTCATCGGTGCCTGGCACACTGGATTTCTTAGCGGACTGCAAGGATCCACCACATGGGTCAGCTTAGCTACTTCATGTCCCAGCCTCTCAAAAGCTACGGCCAGTCTTTGGCCCAGCTCCTGGCTTTGGGGGGTCTTTGAAGCTTACATGCAACCAGGCCCGGTTTACGGTTCTGCTGCTAGTGCATAAAACCCCCAAAACATGGGAACAGGAGGGTGTCTTTTCCCTTAGCAACCTGTCCGGTCACGGAGTTCATCGGTGGTCCTTCATGGAACTAAGCCCTGAGTCTACCTGGAGCAGGGCCTTCAGCGCGATGGCTCCCTCCCTGCGCGACTCCCTCTCCTTGCACTGTTTTCGGAACACTTTGGAGTAGGAAAGGAGAGCAAAGTCCCCATGAAAGTAGAAGGTAAATCTTACTAAAGTTCAATTTAGATATTTGCAAGACAATTTAATGAGCATCTGCTGAGCAGTTTAGCCCCATTGAGTTCGGTGGGGCTTACATGCCATTTCAGTTTCTGCGATCCTGTACACACTTACCCAGGAGTAACCTCCCTTGCTCTCAATAAGACAATGTTAGAGTAGACCTGCATACGATTAAATAGCTCAAGGTCCAATCCTGTGCAAGAGTAAACAGGAAAAAGCTTACAATTCCCAGCATGCCCCAGCCAGCATAAGGTTAGGGTTCCAGGGCATGCTGGGAGTCTTCAACCCTTTTTAACTTGCACCGAATCATTTCCTTCAAGTCTACAACACATTTATTGTAGTACAAGCTGTTTTGGGCCAAAACTCCCATCAAATGCATGAAGTAGAACCCACAGCTGCCATGTTTCTATTTCTTTATAGGAGAGACTAAAGGGATAATTTTATCTGGTTGATTTTCTTCTAATTTTCTTTGTAATTTTATTAATCCCCTTGTAAAACAGCTTGAGCAATTTAGTGAATATACTTTAAAAAACAAATCAGATGTGAAAATCGCAGCATTCTGAAACCAGCTGAGGACGATTCAGACCTCACAATATATCTGTCCTGCTGTTGATTTGATAGCCACTGTTCTTACAAGAAAATTAACTTACAGAAAGACTCCTGCATGAAACTGTGGGGCTGGAATTAGTAAATGTCACTGCTTGCTTAGTTCTCAGTCTCCTATTCGCATTAGGACAGCAAAATTAGGACAGCTGCTGGAATCTTCTGTCCAAAATGGACACCAAAAGGCCTACACAGCTCCATTTTATGTTGACCACAACCCTGAGAGGTAGGCCAGGCTGAGAGGGAGCGATTGGTCCAAAGTCTAGAGCTGAACCTAGTCCCAAGCTCATCTCTCTGCATTGGTTCCCCTGCAACATTCTCTCTAGGTGCATGGGCATGAATTGGGTAATCCACACGTCCCATCTGCCACGATAACATATTTGTCTTTGAGGCGAGGAACGCACAGTGCTTAAGCACACACAACTGTGGCCAGATCGTTCTCTAATCACTTCGTGCAGGAGCAAAGTCTCCTCTGGCCCTTCATTAAGAAACTGCGCAATCAGGGATGTGCGGCTTGGAGCACTCAGAATTGCAGTCCGTGAGGCTGATGTGGCATTAAAGCAAAGAGAGAGAGCGAGAGCGAGAGCGAGAGAGAGAGAGCGGGGAAAGATCAAAACCCCGACAAGGAAGAGGAAGGGCCAGCAAGCAGCTTTCATTTCGAGATGGCGTCAGAAGGCAGTGCACCTGTTGCTCTAGGAACCATTGGCATCACTTTCGTGTCCCCAGGCAACGGCGGTCCTCTGCCACCAAGGGGCAGAGCGGCAGGACAAGCAGGCGAGGCTCGCACCCCACCAGGGCTGGCATCCAGCAACCTGAGAGTTTATTCAGTTCTGCCAACACAGGTGTTTGCTCCGGCCCTCGATGCGCACCTGGATGCGGTCTGCAAACGCATGCATAAGCTACCGACCGGCTTGCACTGCAGGCTTTCCCCCCCACCTGCCCCCCCCGGCTCTTTGCACCTCCCTCCCTTCCTCCTCATTTCCCAAACAAGAGCAGCGCAGGCACGCTGAATCAGCATGAGACTTTGGAAGCACAGAGTTCCAGTCCTCAGCTCTCCGACTCGCTGGCTCAGGACTGAACCTACCTCTCAGGGTTGTTGTGAAGATAAAAAGGAGGGGAGCAGGCCAAGGCATGTCCCTTTGGGCTCCTTGGAATAGGTAAATCAACTCTGAATGCCTACCGCACCGACGTACGTGACGGCTGCAATTCCCATGATCCCCAGCCAGCATCCCCACTGTGAGCACCAGTTACTGGTGGTGCTGTTTATTAATGCTGCAGTGCTTTGGAAAGGGATAATGTGTTTGGCTCTGACTTGGGCACTGCAGGTAGGTAATATTAACCGATGTCCTTTTTCACTGAAGTTGCTTTTGCTGAATGAATTTAAATCGTTGCAATGTTAGTAGCAGTGAGGTGAACGTTTTGGGAGTTGCTATGATGGTAGAGATGAATATTGCATGCGATTCATTGTTCCACATTCTTGCTTTCTGCATTATTACTATATTTGC